TGCCTCTCTCTCTCTCTCTCTCTCTCTCTCTCTCTCTCTGTGTGTGTGTGACTATCATAAATTTAAAAAACAAAAACAAAAAAAGAACACTGGCCCCAGAGCCCAATTTCTTTCCTATATTGCCTTTCATAATTGGTTATGAGAGATGTTCCTTAACATCTCTGGTCCATAGTCTCCTCATTCATCAAATGGGTTTGACAATATCAAAGCTACAATGGAAAGGCTTAGTGGAATTAAGTGATAGGCTGTGCCTGAAGGGAACTCCGTGTGATAAAGCACTGTATCAATATTAGTAACAACAGAGTGGGTGGAATGCCGTAGACTTGCTCTCCCAGCTCCTTAGACAGTGTGTGCACGGCACACTTGTAGGCAAAGAGGCAGACCTCCCCGGGGAGGATTTCTCTTCCTGAATAAAGAATATAGCATTCAAGGGATGTCTGCACCGCCATCTTTATTGTCTGGGGGTGGATGAACGTGAATGTTTAATAGTGACTTTGCAACTACAGAGATGAAAGTCATCCTCTAAGGATAATGAAGGAGACAGAGAGGAGCCTGGGTCCTTAAAGACATAGCAGAACAGTTTCCCCAACCTTGACTGCCGACTGCCTGCTGTCCTGCATTTGAAAGGTGAACTTTCCATGATTTGTAGAAGAACGCATTCTTACTGGTGCACCACTACTCAAAGCCAGCTCCTTCATGAAGTCCACCCATTTGAACCTCTATGAATTCACAGTTTCCAATCTCAGACTTCACGGCAATTCCTCTCCCTTTTCCCTGTTTTGGTGAGTTCCGTCCTGTCCTTTCTTTGATGCGAACACTCTAAAGTCTCTGAGAGCTCTTACTCCTATGCAGCTCTTACCTCTTAATGAACAGTACCAAAAAAAAAAAAAAAAAAAAAGCCAGTATGCTGGAAAATTGCTGATTTCTCACCATGTTCTCCATGGTGCCTGTATAGTCATCTAGCTGCTGACACGGTGTAGGTATATACCTTCCTTTTGTCCAGGGCAACTCTTTCCTGCTATATAGTCTCACCTTCTGCTCACTCCCCAATCCACTGCAACTGGGCTTTGCCTTCAGCCTGAAATTCATGGACACCACTCTTGCTAAGGTCACACATGGTCTCTGAGTTGTCAGAGTACATTTTGGACTCTTATTCCAGTTGGTATCTCAGCAGCAATTCACATGCCCATTACCTCCTTTTTGGAATTACTCCTCTGGCTTCCATGACACTGCTTTTGCTAAGTTCTGCATTTACCTGCTCTTTTCATTTCCTCTCATTCAGATTCCATTAAATTTCTTCGCTGGCTAAAAGCCTAGACTTCAGGTGTTCCCCAGGATGCAACTCTTGGCCTCCTAATATATTCTACACAATCTCTTTAGGTGAACCTACCTAATTTACCATCAGTGAGGGAATTTTGCCACCAGTCAACAATAGACAAGCATATTTTAGATCACTCCTTCAACCACAAATAGAATATGATCAACATTTGTTTGAAGGTATCAGAAAGGTACCAAGATATCTAATATTTATGGAGGCAAGTTTCCAAAGAGAAGGGAAATCCAGGAAGGTGAACCTTTATCTTTGGTATGTGACTCCTCTTCATGAATCTCTCACCCAAGTGAACAGCAAACATATCCACCCTGCCGCTCAAGCTGGAACACTGGCCTCTTCCTCGCTTCTTGGCTCTTGCAATCTTCATTCCAAGAATCATCAAACTCTGCATATTCTACCCCATAAAGATCTTTTCAATCTGTTCCTTCCTCTACCTCTCCCACCACAACTCCCTAGACTAGGGCTTCATTTTTTCAAATACTTTTGAGTATTTTTTAAAAAGCTTCCCATTTGGGCTCTTTGCCTCCAGGCTCACCTCACACGGAGCCCAGCCTCCACGTGCTGCCAGAATTATTTTACTGAAACACAAATCTAATCATGTCACTCATCTGCCTGACTTGCTCTGGTGACTCCACTTAACACGAAGTGTGCAGGACAACAATGAAAGCCCATATGGCTGCCTCCTGAATGCCATCTGTCTCATCCTTCACCCCAACCAGGTGGAATGGGATTCAGGCCTGAGCAACATATTAATAGTTTCTCAAGGATGCCAAGGATTTTCCTTTATTTTTTTTAATTTTATTTATTTATTCATGATAGACAGACAGAGAGAGAGAGATAGAGAGAGAGACAGGCAGAGGGAGAAGCAGGCTCCATGCCCGGAGCCTGATGCAGGACTCGATCCCGGGACTCCAGGATCACGCCCTGGGTCAAAGGCAGGCGCTGAACCGCTAAGCCACCCAAGGATCCCAAGGCTTTTCTTTTAGGGTCATACCGAATTAGGGTCATCTGAAATTCAGGGTCATCTGAAATTCAGATTTCCTCTGCCTGGAAACCTCCCTACCCTCCACCCCTCCCGTGGTGCTTTCCCTATTTGGAAAGAATAAATAAAATCCCTATTTCATAAGTCACATCAAAATAAATTCAAATGAACAAAAGATGCTAAAGGAGGAAAACAAAACCATAAAAGTGCTGGCAGAAAACACAGGAATAATATTTTTTTCCCTTTAAGGCAGAGGTCCACAAACTACAACCTAAGGGTTGTAAATTTATTTTTTTGTAAACTTGTATTTTTGTAAATAAGGTCTGTTTGTTTTTTTTTTAATTTTATATATGCCTTGTATTTTTCCTCTCCATTACTGTGTTCTTTTGAGTATAACTAACTTTTTATAAACCATTTGATTCCATTCTCATTTATTCTTCTGTATATTTTGGATATATATTTATATATTTCTTTTAGATGTTCAGAGATTACTTATTTAAATACCAAACAGATTACAGTTATTCTCCTGAATTTATAACAAATCTAGGTTTTTTGGTCAGAATTAAAACATATATATATATATATATATATATATATATATATATATATATATTTACTTTTAAAAAAATGGAAAAAGGAAAGCTTCAAAACCAGAGTATGCTACTTTAGTATGAATGTCTAATGTGCATTCAAAGTATTGAAAAGCAAGCCTTTTTACCAAAGGATAATGTCACTAGGACATATGGACTGTAATTATAAAAGAAGACTTTGAAACATAAAGGTGTGCATAGAAATTAGTGAAGAAAGGAAGCCCTGGTGAGGACACAGAGCAGTGAGCAGGTGCTTTGGGAGGAAGTCTCGGAAAGTGAAGGACATGGCCCCGGGTCTGGAGTGGATGTCTGGCTCACCACCTGGATGCCAAAGGGAGAAGAACACACCTGACAGGATTCCAGAAGAGAACGTCACTGCAGCCTTCAGAAAAGCCACAGTTTTTGCTCCCAAGTGGGTAGAGGAGCCCCTCCGGATTTCAATAAGGTCCTCTCGGGAGGATCTGCCTTCCAACCTGGAGTAAGAAGCCTAGGCGGGGGGCTGGGGTGACTGGGTAATGGGCACTGAGCGAGGCACTTGACGGGATGAGCACTGGGTGATATGCTATATGTTGGCAAGTTGAACTCCAATAAAAAAATATACAAAAAAAAAAAAAAGAGGAAGAAGCAGCAACCTAGGATAACAGCGCCCACAAAGTGGGATGTCCAGTATGAACAGCGACTCTTATGCATGGTATTTTTGGAAGGATTTTTACTACCACTTTGAGGTTTGAGGTCCCTCCAAAGCGCACCACCAATACAGTCCTGCTTCATATGCCTCATAGCATCACAAGTGTCACCTACACCCTCAGTGCTTTCACTTACTTCTGCGCCAGCTTGCTGGGACAAAACCTCTTCTCTACCACCAAGGAATTGGTGGTGTAACAGACTTGCCCAGGTCACTAGCCACACCCACCTCCTCCAGTCAGTAACAGGTGACAGAGGCCTCTCAACCCCTGGCCCCTGCCCATCACTGCCACTTGTTGCCACGGTCACCTTTGGGCCTTGGGGTATCTCTTCCCTCCACTCCCCATTTTCCATGGCTGACTTCTACAGCAAGTCCAGCTTGAATTGATACCTGTAGTAATAAAGCTTAACTGGAACACAACTATGCTCTTTGTTCATGAGTGGTCTGTGGCTGTTTCTGTGCTGCAACAGCAGCGCACAATAGTCAAGACCATGGATATATATGCCCTGTAAAGCCCTAAAATACTATCTGACCCTTTACTCAAGACGTTTACTGACCCCCAAATTGAAGGATTCAAAAAGGCAGATACCATTAAATTAGAAGCATGAACATTTCTGAGGCTATAAAACTTAGAAACTATCGATCCCAAAAATACAAACAATACTGAAAGTCAAGTAACGAATGGAAACCAATATTTAAAAGAGCCATCACAAAGAAATCTGAAAGTTAAAATTAAAATAAAATCAATGTAACAGACAAAAGGTAATACGATATAATAAAAGTTCACGATGGTGGGTAAAAGATCAATGTCCAAGCAGAAAAAATGAGTAAGTGACTTTAGGAGCTGACCGAAAGATAAGAAGGAATAGAGGGGCAAGAACCACTAGTGACAAGATTTTCTGCCTTGTTAGCAATCAAGGGAGGCAAATCAAAAATTACTACTTCATGCTTTACCTTAAAAAAAAATAGCAAATAGGGGCACCTGGGTGGCTCAGTGGTTGAGCACCTGCCTTCGACTCAGGTGGTGATCCCGGCCTGGGATCCAGTCCCACGTCGGCCTTCCGGCATGAAGCCTGCTTCTCCCTCTGCCGGTGTCTCTGCCTCTCTCTTTGTATATCTCTCATGAATAAATAAATAAAATCTTTTAAAAAAACCAGCAAATTAAAAAAAAACCAACCTAGTCATATTCTGTAATGGTCATGATTCAATGAAATGGGTAGTCTTGGGAAAAAACCAATGGAACCAAACGTTTGACAGACATGTTTTCAAAGAAATCTGACTTTCCGAAAACTAGTCAACAGCGCTTTCCAACAAAAAACTTCAGTTAGGAAGACGGTATTCGGTATTAGGGGACGGGGGTCCGGAGCACCTTCTGTCCTGTGGGAACACAGCGGTGGGTTGCAGACCTACTTTTTTCAGGAGAAACGTGCGACTTGGATTGTCCCCGCACGAGCCTGCAGGTGGAGCCGTTGCCAGCACAGACGCCGCAGCTGTCCTCCCGGGCGCTGCTCCCCAGGCGCCGATCACAGCCCACGGCCTGCGGGCAGAAGCAGACAGTAGCAGGTGTCAGGATCCGAGGATGGCTGAGGGTCCAGGGCCCTCGGGAGGCCCCCACCCCGCCCCCGGGTGCAAACCTTCCCTAATTAACCACTGGGCTCTCTCATGGTGACAGAGTTTTCAAGCTAAAAATGACAGAAAGCCTTAAGATTCCTGATAGGAATCTTACCAAGGGCCCAGTCTAGTTAAAAGAGAATTGTGTCCCTCCCTTTACATCTTAATTTATCTCTTTATTTTAGTCATATATTTTTATGTATATAAAATGAACAGAACATTACAGAGGCTGTTTCCTCTGCCCCTCTTGCTCCCCACACCTCCCCTCTTCTCTGGCCCCTACACTGAAGTTGACGAGTATCCTTCCAGGCCATAGTTTTATACATTTTCCCCTCTGTTTGTATCTCAATCTCCACATACTTATCTCCCAACATCTTTATATATCCATATCTCTCTACACTCTGGATCTTTATATATCCTTCTATCATTATTTATGCCTATACCTATGTGTGTCTTCCTTTGTTATGAGATCTATAGACACACTTTTGTAGACCATTTCTTTTTAAGATGTTTATTTAAATTCAATTTAGTTAACATATAGTGTATTATTAGTTTCAGGGGTAGAGTTGAGTGATTCGTCAGTTGCATATAACACCCAGTGCTCATCACATCAAGTGCCCTCCTTAATGCCCATCACCCAGTAACCCCATCCTCCTACCCCCTCTTCTCCAGCAACCCTGTTTGTTTCCTAGAGTTAAGTCTCTTATGGTTTGTCTCCCTGTTTTCATCTTATTTTATTTTTCTTTCCCTTCCCCTTTGTTCATCTGCTTTGTTTCTTAAATTCCACATATGAGTGAGATTATATAGTATTTTCCTTTCTTTGACTGGCTTATCTTGTTTAGCATAACACTCTCTAGTTCCATCCACATCATTGCAAATAGTACAATTTTATATTTGTTTTGATGGCTGAGTAGTATTCCTACACACACACACACACACACACACACACACACACACACACTTGTACACATACCACCTCTTCTTTATTCATTCATCTGTTGATGGACATCCGGGCTCTTCATAAACTATTTCTTAAATGCAGAAAAGGAATGAATGGGAGTGACCTCATAGCACATGCCTATACTGCTACCTTTCAGTCCTTTGTGAGTTATTATTTTTGTGAGGTATCTGTGTGTGTGCATACATGTGTGCATCTTTGCCAGATTGTGAGCTTCCATAAATGAGGACAAGGGCTAGGCACATTTCTTTTTACAGTACAAATCGGTCTTCTACATAACATGTGCCCACTAATATGAACTGGTGAGAAAGTTTCTCCCTACCTCCCTGTGTTACTCAACTTTATTTGCATTTCTATACATGGTGTTTAAGTGCAGGGACTCTGGAGGCAGAGAGCCTCCCTGTCCCACCCCTCCAACCCGTTCAAGATGGCAGAGAGTAAACAGTTCAAACACTCAGAGACACATCTTCCTCAAGACTAACACACAGACAATAATACACATTTTACCCAAGATCTAGTAAGGATAAAATGAGAATATGTATGTAGACTCTCTTAGTATAGGGATTACAACATTACAAAGGACTCAACAAAAAAGGCTCCCTTCTTGGGGCACCCGGATGGCTCAGTAGTTGAGCGTCTGCCTTTGGTTCAGGTCTTGATCCTGGGGTCCTGGGATCAAGTCTTGCATCGGGCTCCCCACAGGGAGCCTACTTCTCCCTCTGCCTATGTCTCTGCCTCTCTTTGTGTCCCTATTGGATAAATAAATAAACCTTTTTTAAAAAACAGCCCCCTTCTATCCTCTCTGTTTTTCATTTTGTTTTGAGTCCTGGGCATAGCCCCTAAGCCTCAGAGCAGGGAGTTGCTGAATCACTACATCCAAGGTGTTGAAGACAAAATAAAACTGGAGGGAGTTGAAACCACATCTACAGACTATTCTTTCCAAAATTTCAGTGCTGAAGGGAAGGAGAAAGATCAAATGAAAGTTTCAGGGAGAGGTAGGAAAAGTTCCAAGGAAGTTTAAGGAAAAGCCTGTGATTAAAGATATTTTTAAATTCACAACGGGCTGTCATGAAAAAAGGGATTACATTTGTTCCTTGTGTTTCCAAATGGTGAAAACTACAGGTTTAAGCTGAAGTTTAGTTCAATGTCAAAGAGTTTGAAAAGTCAGAGTTATCCAGCACCAAGTGTTCAACCGTGAGCTAGGTAGGAGACTTTCTGGCGGGGAAACTGGAGAGGGAATTAAATTGTCTGAGGAGTAGCTAAATCCAAAGACTTTTGAGATCCTTTCATCCTTAATGTATATTTTTATAAAGGTGGTAATGAAATATTAATAGTTGATTTTTTTACTGAATGCCTACCATGTGTCTGGCATTATGCCAAGCACATCACATATATCATTGAATCTTCACAGCAACCTGATGACATAGGTGATTTTTTTCTGCCTCTATTTTACAAATAAGGCATCTGAATGTCAGTGAGGTTAAATGACCTGCCAGCATCACACAGCTAGTAAACAGCACCAGTAATGGCCTGAAAATGCAGGTCGGTTGACTCCAGAATCTTAATACCATGGCACACCTTCTTTACCTTTGGTAGCAGTGGGATAGGTCATAGAGAACCAAGTCACACAGGCAATTATATTAATACTTAGCAGCACACGTGGAGCAAATGAAGAATGACTGATTTTGGAAACGCACTTGCATGGTTGGGATTCAATCAATGAGTAACTTGTGTTCATGCAACTTTCTCCAAGGGGAGTAATTCTACCATTAAGTTATAGAAACACTGTTCCCGAGCCAAGCTCTGTCCTCACAATTCATGTCCCTGAGCACTTTGCATTTCATGAGAATGAGAATAACTGTCTATCTGGTCATCCAGAAAGGGTGTGGGCTTAGCAGCTAGGATGGGCTTGTTTTGAAGAGTGTTTAGGGCCTTGTAAGATCTTAGGCAAGCAAACACTTCCCTGAGCACTTGCATTTGTTTCAGAATTTTGTTTCAAGTGACAGTTCATCCAAATCTTACAGCCAAAAAAAGCAAGTGAAAACATCACAGAAAAATAATATCTGAGAAGCAGCTCTGATTGCCTTGTGATTCAGAGGGTATAAGTCAGAATGGCCCTTGAAACCATGGGCCTACTGAATTTGGGCTCTCAGGTCTCATCATAATCAATAATAAGCAACTTCTGAAAAGCTACCCTGAGGTGTTTTCAACCTCTATGACATCTCCGGAAGTCAAGATCTTTAATTGTAATGATTTAAAAACCACGAATCAATAAAACATATCAAGAGATTAACATCTATTAAATAACCAATTTATATATAGGCAGGCATGACAGGGTATAATCTAACAAGACAAGGCTCATGTCCTACAGTGCTAATGAGACAAGCTACACAAAATGTCTGATTTAAACAAATATTTAAAATATATGAGCAGTACCTTTGGGAATAAATACTCCTACATAAATCATCACTTCAGCTAAGGATATTTCACTATTTCTGCATACGGATTCCTAATCAGCTAAAAGAACATAGTATTTAAATAGGCGGCCTCCTCACTCCATATTAAGCCACATAGGAATCTTTTTAGGTAAATCTAATTTAATCTTTCTAGAACCAGTTTTTTGAGTCAACTTTTGTTTGAGATCTCTGAAAACTGTATGCTATATTAGGAAAAAACTCTAGATGTCTGCCTTGAAAATCAGAGTATATAGAGCTACGGTCATCATTAGAGATGTTCTAAAATATGGAGCTTCTCCTTTCAGCCCTGGAAGGAGGATACTTCTCCATCTCCTTAGAAGTTAAGTGTGGTCTTGACCATCTTGGGCCAATGAACTGAATCTAAGTGCCAGTGTCATTTCTGTAAGAAGCTTTAAGGGTCAGTTACTCTTCTTGCTACTGTAGTTTAGTTATTATGTAAAATATGTGTTTGAATAAAACCTCCCTCAGTCTGATCTCTTGATATTCAAAGAACAGAGACCTCCTGCTGACTGATGGTGGACAAGTAGCATTAGCAAGAAGTGATCTTTAATAGTGTTAAGCCACTGAACTGTGGTGGTTGTTGGTTACTGCAGGAAAACCTGGCCAGAGCACAACCTAACCATTAATGGACAAAGCAAGGTCATTAAAATAGCAAGGTTTTTTTTAATTGGACATTTCACATTAAAATCCCAATTTCTGGCTTCTGTTGACAAACAGAAACTCTAACGTGTTTATGTTAGTTGTCCCTTTCACAATGAGCAAGTACATAGTCTCCAGGTCCCAACAGCCCTCATGCACAGCATGACCATATCCGAACACTTTCTGTCTCTGCGAAGTGTGGAGACACTTGAGTTTGTCTAAGCATGACTGTGCTATCTGTGCAAGGCCCCCCTGTTGTCCTGGCTGTCCTCTACCAGAACCGCCTCTCATTTCCCGTTACAAACTTCAGCTACACTTCAGGCATCACAATATGTACAAGGACCATCAGTAAAGTGCAGTGACTAAGAAAACAGATTCTGAGATTAGGTAGCATGGGTCCAAATTCCAGCTCTACCACTTTGCAGCCATGCAATGCAGGAAAATCCCTTAGGCTCTTCAAATCTAGTTCCCAAGTGGGGACAATGACTGTACCTACCTCACACATATAAGGACCTAATACAGCCAGGTGCTTCAGACAATACCTGACACTAAACACCCAGTAAATGTTAGTTTTACTGTAACTACAAAGTGGTTTCTTCATCTACCCAGCTGTCAGGAAATTCAATAAACATGAACAATAAATCAGATTTGCTCTGAGGACGTGCTTCCAACCAGGTCCTGTTTGTCATAAAAATCAGATGTGCAAAGCTGAAGCAAATTTCATTCAGTAGGGTCATCATCTCATGCCGCCTGCTGTGCTCAGATTCACAAAAAGTTATTCCCAGGAGTACAGTGACGGCTCATTTAAGTGAACAGACTGTAAACACAGTTGCAAAAATCATCTGTGGTCTG